TCAGTCTGTAACCTGTCCTCTCCATCTGATCCTGCTCCTGGACTAGTCCACTACATCAGTCTGTAACCTTTTTGGTCTCTCCATCTGATCCCTGCTCCTGGACTAGTTCACTGCATCAGTCTGTAAACTTGGTCCTCTCCATCTGACTCCTACTTCCTGGACTAGTCCACTATATCAGTTTGTAACCTTGGTCCTCTCCATCTGACCCTACTGCTGGACTATTATTCCACTACATCAGTCTGTAACCTTGTCGCTTCCATCTCTGCTCCTGCTCCTGGACTAGTCCACTACATCAGTCTGTAACCTTGGTCGTCTCAATCTGATCTCTACTCCTGGACTAGTCCACTACATCAGTCTGTAACCTTGGTCCTCCCTATCTGATCCCTGCTCCTGGACTAGTCCACTACATCAGTCTGTAACCTTGGTCATCTCCATCAGATCCCTTCTCCTGGACTAGTCCACTACATCAGTCTGTAACCTCTGTCCTCTCCATCTCATCTCTACTCCTAGACTAGTCCACTATATCAGTCTGTAACCTTGGTCCTCTCCATCTGACCCTACTCCTGGACTAGTCCACTATATCAGTCTGTAACCTTGGTCCTCTCCATCTGACCCTACTCCTGGACTAGTCCACTACATCAGTCTGTAACCTTGGTCCTCTCCATCTGACCCTACTCCTGGACTAGTCCACTACATCAGTTAGTAACCTTGGTCCTCTCCATCTGATCTCTACTCCTGGACTAGTCCACTACATCAGTTAGTAACCTTGGTTCTCTCCATCAGATCCCTTCTCCTGGACTAGTCCACTATATCAGTCTGTAACATTTGTCCTCTCCATCTGACCCTTATCCTGAACTAGTCCACTATATCAGTCTGTAACCTTTGTCCTCTCCATCTGACCCTACAGCTGGACTAGTCCACTGCATCAGTCTGTAAACTTGGTCCTCTCCATCTGACCCTACTCCTGGACTAGTCCACTACATCAGTCTGTAACCTTGGTCGTCTCCATGAGATCCCCTCTCCTGGACTAGTCCACTACATCAGTCTGTAACCTTTGTCCTCTCCATCTGATCTCTACTCCTGGACTAGTCCACTACATCAGTCTGTAACCTTGGTCCTCTCCATCTGACCCTACTCCTGGACTAGTCCACTACATCAGTCTGTAACCTTTGTCCTCTCCATCTGATCTCTACTCCTGGATTAGTCCACTACATCAGTTAGTAACCTTGGTCCTCTCCATCAGATCCCTTCTCCTGGACTAGTCCACTATATCAGTCTGTAACCTTGGTCCTCTCCATCTGACCCTACTCCTGAACTAGTCCACTATATCAGTCTGTAACCTTGGTCCTCTCCATCTGACCCTACAGCTGGACTAGTCCACTACATCAGTCTGTAACCTTGGTCCTCTCCATCTGATCCCTACTCCTGGACTAGTCCACTACATCAGTCTGTAACCTTCGTCCTCTCCATCTGATCCCTGCTCCTGGACTAGTTCACTGTATCAGTCTGTAACCTTGGTCCTCTCCATCTGATCCCTACTCCTAGACTAGTTCACTGTATCAGTCTGTAACCGTTGTCCTCTCCATCTGATCCCTGCTCCTGGACTAGTCCACTACATCAGTCTGTAACCTTGGTCCTCTCCATCTGATCCCTGCTCCTGGACTAGTTCACTGCATCAGTCTGTAAACTTGGTCCTCTCCATCTGACCCTACTCCTGGACTAGTCCACTATATCAGTTTGTAACCTTGGTCCTCTCCATCTGACCCTACTGCTGGACTATTCCACTACATCAGTCTGTAACCTTGGTCGTCTCCATCTGCTCCCTGCTCCTGGACTAGTCCACTACATCAGTCTGTAACCTTGGTCGTCTCAATCTGATCTCTACTCCTGGACTAGTCCACTACATCAGTCTGTAACCTTGGTCCTCCCTATCTGATCCCTGCTCCTGGACTAGTCCACTACATCAGTCTGTAACCTTGGTCATCTCCATCAGATCCCTTCTCCTGGACTAGTCCACTACATCAGTATGTAACCTCTGTCCTCTCCATCTCATCTCTACTCCTGGACTAGTCCACTATATCAGTCTGTAACCTTGGTCCTCTCCATCTGACCCTACTCCTGGACTAGTCCACTACATCAGTCTGTAACCTTGGTCCTCTCCATCTGACCCTACTCCTGGACTAGTCCACTACATCAGTCTGTAACCTTTGTCCTCTCCATCTGATCTCTACTCCTGGACTAGTCCACTACATCAGTTAGTAACCTTGGTCCTCTCCATCAGATCCCTTCTCCTGGACTAGTCCACTATATCAGTCTGTAACCTTGGTCCTCTCCATCTGACCCTACTCCTGAACTAGTCCACTATATCAGTCAGTAACCTTGGTCCTCTCCATCTGACCCTACAGCTGGACTAGTCCACTGCATCAGTCTGTAAACTTGGTCCTCTCCATCTGACCCTACTCCTGGACTAGTCCACTACATCAGTCTGTAACCTTTGTCCTCTCCATCTGATCCCTGCTCCTGGACTAGTCCACTATATCAGTCTGTAACCTTGGTCCTCTCCATCTGATCCTTGCTCCTGTACTAGTTCACTGTATCAGTCTGTAACCTTGGTCCTCTCCATCTGATCCCTACTCCTAGACTAGTTCACTGTATCAGTCTGTAACCGCTGTCCTCTCCATCTGATCCCTGCTCCTGGACTAGTCCACTACATCAGTCTGTAACCTTGGTCCTCTCCATCTGATCCCTGCTCCTGGACTAGTTCACTGTATCAGTCTGTAACCTTGGTCCTCTCCATCTGATCCCTACTCCTAGACTAGTTCACTGTTTCAGTCTGTAACCTTGGTCCTCTCCATCTGATCCCTACTTCTAGACTAGTTCACTGCATCAGTCTGTAACCTTGGTCCTCTCCATCTGGTCCCTACTCCTAGACTAGTTCACTGTATCAGTCTGTAACCTTTGTCCTCTCCATCTGATCCCTACTCCTAGACTAGTTCACTACATCAGTCTGTAACCTTGGTCCTCTCCATCTGGTCCCTACTCATAGACTAGTTCACTACATCAGTCTGTAACCTTTGTCCTCTCCATCTGATCCCTGCTCCTGGACTAGTCCACTACATCAGTCTGTAACCTTGGTCCTCTCCATCTGATCCCTACTGCTAGACTAGTTCACTGTATCAGTCTGTAACCTTGGTCCTCTCCATCTGATCCCTGCTCCTGGACTAGTTCACTACATCAGTCTGTAACCTTGGTCCTCTCCATCTGATCCCTGCTCCTGGACTAGCTCACTGTATCAGTCTGTAACCTTGGTCCTCTCCATCTGATCCCTACTCCTGGACTAGTTCACTGTATCAGTCTGTAACCTTCGTCCTCTCCATCTGATCCCTGCTCCTGGACTAGTCCACTACATCAGTCTGTAACCTTGGTCCTCTCCATCTGCTCCCTGCTCCTGGACTAGTCCACTACATCAGTCTGTAACCTTGGTCCTCTCCATCTGATCCCTGCTCCTGGACTAGTTCACTGTATCAGTCTGTAACCTTGGTCCTCTCCATCTGATCCCTACTGCTAGACTAGTTCACTGTATCAGTCTGTAACCTTGGTCCTCTCCATCTGATCCCTGCTCCTGGACTAGTCCACTACATCAGTCTGTAACCTTGGTCCTCTCCATCTGCTCCCTGCTCCTGGACTAGTCCACTACATCAGTCTGTAACCTTGGTCCTCTCCATCTGACCCTACTCCTGAACTAGTCCACTATATCAGTCAGTAACCTTGGTCCTCTCCATCTGACCCTACAGCTGGACTAGTCCACTGCATCAGTCTGTAACCTTGGTCCTCTCCATCTGCTCCCTGCTCCTGGACTAGTCCACTACATCAGTCTGTAACCTTGGTCCTCTCCATCTGATCCCTGCTCCTGGACTAGTCCACTACATCAGTCTGTAACCTTGGTCCTCTCCATCTGATCCCTGCTCCTGGACAAGTCCACTACATCAGTCTGTAACCTTGGTCCTCTCCATCTGATCCCTGCTCCTGGACTAGTCCACTACATCAGTCTGTAACCTTGATCCTCTCCATCTGATCCCTACTGCTAGACTAGTTCACTGTATCAGTCTGTAACCTTGGTCCTCTCCATCTGATCCCTGCTCCTGGACTAGTTCACTACATCAGTCTGTAACCTTGGTCCTCTCCATCTGATCCCTGCTCCTGGACTAGCTCACTGTATCAGTCTGTAACCTTGGTCCTCTCCATCTGATCCCTACTCCTGGACTAGTTCACTGTATCAGTCTGTATCCTTCGTCCTCTCCATCTGATCCCTGCTCCTGGACTAGTCCACTACATCAGTCTGTAACCTTGGTCCTCTCCATCTGCTCCCTGCTCCTGGACTAGTCCACTACATCAGTCTGTAACCTTGGTCCTCTCCATCTGATCCCTGTTCCTGGACTAGTTCACTGTATCAGTCTGTAACCTTGGTCCTCTCCATCTGATCCCTACTGCTAGACTAGTTCACTGTATCAGTCTGTAACCTTGGTCCTCTCCATCTGATCCCTGCTCCTGGACTAGTCCACTACATCAGTCTGTAACCTTGGTCCTCTCCATCTGCTCCCTGCTCCTGGACTAGTCCACTACATCAGTCTGTAACCTTGGTCCTCTCCATCTGATCCCTGCTCCTGGACTAGTCCACTACATCAGTCTGTAACCTTGGTCCTCTCCATCTGATCCCTGCTCCTGGACTAGTCCACTACATCAGTCTGTAACCTTGGTCCTCTCCATCTGATCCCTGCTCCTGGACTAGTCCACTACATCAGTCTGTAAGCTTGGTCCTCATCAGTGTGATGAGTGAACGTTTTATCCACTAGGTTATCCCACCGCCCAATATATGACTTGAAGCTGTATAATGTAGAACGTAGCACAAAGTGATCCAAGTCTCTACAGTCTCTACATGGAACAGGGCACCAGTCCTCATTATTTCAGGTAAAGTTATTGATAAACCATCTTTGTTTCAGGAACATGCCGCCTGTGAATTCTTTTAGCATACTCCAGACAGAACGTATATACCTACAGCAGCGCCTGCAACTGAAAGGTACACGTCTCTTAGAATATCTTCTCGAGAAGAAGGTGATCACTCCCACACAACTGGAAGACATCCTAGATATTCCCCAAACCAGCAAGAAAATAACAAAACTGCTTACGTTGTTGATGAAGAGGCCAGCTCACGAATTTAAACATTTCATGAAGGGACTTGAAGGGGAACAGGATCATGTTAGGGACTATCTTCAAGAGGAGAGGGGTAAGAATTTTGACTATACATGTACAATCAACTAAACCATAATGATGATAATGATAAGCATCCAGTGTACAGTTCCAACCTGGTCTTGGTAGTAACTACACGACCTCAAGTCTCAAAGTAACCTGATTGTTTGAAATACAGTAAATATATATGTTTGAATGCTCGGTAATTAAACTCTAGTCCTTGTACAGCAGCATCTTCAGAAGAAAATAGTAACACTGATGTGGAAATGGCGGAGGACCCGGAACCTATGGATGAATACACTGAAAAAGACTGTGGCGATGATAGTGATGAGGATGGAAGCGAGGGCAGTGACACCGACGAAGACAGCGGTCAGCCAGTGAGGCCTGTTATCTGTTTAATCCATTTCACCACTGACTGAACATTCCCCTCGAAACTCCACACAACACGTCAGTTCCACAACCAGCTATAGACAGTGTGACAATGTGAAAGTTATACATGTGATATTTTAAGATGAAATAATGAAACAGAACATGACAACATGAAACTTACTTTGCCATATGGAAATATATAGAGGTTAGCACTCAATGTGTTTTGGGATGGTAAATATCAAGTTTTAGGAATAAACATTGCATTTGCATTGCTTTGACCAGGGATTAGGAAAGGCAGGGGCCATGGACAATTTTGCACATTAGAATAAAAAATGGCCCATTAAAATTTTGAAGTTTATTATTGATACAGGGGCAGTGGCCCATTCTAAATTCAGAAAATGTCTAACAATCCTGAAACTTGCCCATTGTTAAAGTTCTCTATCCCAGTCCCTGTTGTTGACAGGGTAACTGTAATTTAGATTTTTATAAAAATCACTCCGCTTTCACATAATCACAGATTTTCATCGATTGATTTGTGGTAATCATCTGTTTGCAATTGTTAAGTTTGGGTTCAAATCCTGGAATTACACATGATTATATCATGATCTGTATGCACCCTACACATGCATGTGTGTTTTCACTGTAAATCTCTTTGGTTTGTATGTTGCTTAATGTCGCACTCAGCAATATTCCAGCTATATGGTAGTGGTCTCCTCTTATGACAAGCCTGGGTTGTGAAGACCAATTCCAACACAGTCTTTGGCCTGCTCTATTTGTTGTTCAACACACTGTTCAAAACACTGGTGTGTGGTCCTATGTATAGAGCTCAGGTCACAAATCAGTTGAAGTTAAGCAATGGTGGTCAGGGAGAGTCCTTGGATAGGTGGCATGTTCGGAGTTTCTAAATTTTAGAATTTAGCGCTATAGAAGTGCATTATTATCATTATTATTATTAATACCAGTATACTGTGCCAACAGTCAGTAACCCAACTGAATGTTGTAATGTCAAAATCTGAGTTTTGTGACCGTTTTTCTACCCTCAGCTGAAGCTTATAAAAGATTTCAAGATGGACCCTCAGGAGCAGGATGTGACCTTGCATGTCAAGGTCCTTGAGGTGAACAAGTGGAGGAAAAGTCCAACAAGAACCAGTTCAGGGCCACTGTGGCTGATGCCACCTCAGCTGTTGACATTTGTGTGAGGAATGACAAACTCTTTGACAAGTTCAAACTGGAATGCTGCATTATTCTGAGAAATGTCACCTGGAACGGGAAGGTTTTATTCACTAAGCCCTCTTCTACAGCAACCTTTGCTTCGGAGATTCTGGTGCCCAAACATGTCATCGCCAAAGCATTTGGGAAAGGTGACCCAGTGCCCATATCAAAAGTCCGCACTCTGCCTGATATGTCCTGGATTAAATTGAGAGGAAAGATTGTGAAGGTTGGTGGACCTTTAGGCATTCTTAACGTAATATTTACAAGGCACAGCATTTGCACTATTAGCAGGCCTGTGAAACAGCTTTGTTGAAATCCAAAGGCTGTAAGGGACATTTCTGCTTGTCATCTTTACGACACCAAAACTTGAAGGAAAACCAAGTTTGATGGATAGTGAACTTGTTTATTGCAATGAGTGCGACGTTTCGCTGTAGGTACTAACACCGTTATCAAGCTTCACGTTAGTACCTACACCAAAACGTCACACTCATTGCAATAAAGAAGTTGACTATCCATCAAACTTGGTTTTCCTTCATCTATACAACTTCTATAATGCCTCTCAGAGAAGTTACACCAAAACCTGAATACATGACACATTTTTATGGATGACAACTTCTTTTTATTCTTTATACGGCGTTTTGCACACATCACATTGTATCATTGTTCAAGCAATCCCCTCTCAGAAAAAGGAAGTGCTATGGGAAGGTGTTATCATATCGCCAAGTCAATCTGAAGGATGATACTGGTTCTGTCTACGTGGACGTGTGGGGCGACAGCGCAGAGCAGATGCAATCAAGCAAGGTTGTTGAGGTAGAATCTTGCAAGAAGCGACAAACTTCAAGTCCTGATGACCCATGGGTCACCACAACAACCAAGTCTTCAGTAAAGGTAACCTCTGGCATTTGGTTGTGATTGGTTCAAAGTGGGTTCTACTTGTTTGTCAATGTTGCCAGTAACTAAGAAAACATTAGTGGCATTGCATCCTGTTGTCAACAATTTTGAAGATAAAGCTTGTATCAACTTGCCTTGAGTGTGCTTCACTGAGTTGGTTTCAGTTAAAGGTATATAGACAGCTTACAGAATTCAGGTCTTGTTAGGGATTGAACATATTTTTGTGACATCCTTTGGGGAAACAGTGCAGAGTTTCGGTTAAACCAGTTTCAGCAAATTTAGTTGCCGTTGTATTTATTGTACGATCCGTCATTTGTATTTCCAGTACCTACCCTCCACACAACTAAAGCATATCCGGAAGGATCGTTACCAAAGAGGTACGCTTGTCGGGATCGACGTCACACTGTACATGTCATGCCCAACCCCCCGATGTTTCTGTTACCAACTGACAGACGGGCTATGTGAGTCGTGTCAGCGTCAGATCCCAGACCAGGACCAGGAGAGCTATGGAATGGCCATCATTGACGTCCTGACACAGAAAGGAAACATTCACTCACTGACCGTTTACTGGCCAGAGCTCCTCCAATTCTTCCGATTGTTCAAGAAGACCCCACCAGGGCGTGATAAGGAGAAGATCGTCAAAGCCTTTAATGATCTGGGGAACAAGACCGTGAGATACCAGGCATGTGGGATTGTCAGCAAGTTTAAACGTTAGACTGAAATACAGTCCTCGGAGTGTCAGGTGCTGGCAAATATGTCAACTTTCATGTTACATGGGTCAAAGACCTTTAGCCGAGATGTAATATGGAGCCTTGAAATGGAGTGGTTTATTTGTCACGTAGTGATTGTTGTTATTTTAAGAGGATGCCTTTTGAGTTCTAAGTGTCAGCGTACTAAAGATTCATATTTTGCACTGTGTATTGGTACAAAGAAGATTACCAAGAACATTTGCTGACCAGGTGGACAGGGAACTTTCTTCCTGTCGTGAGTCACTTTTATCTGTTATATGGGTCAAAGAGCCTTTAGCAGAGATTTATAATGAACAGCAAAAGAAACGCAACTGGGTTTTTTGGTCAAGTTTTTAAATAGAAGACATAAACATGAACGCTTACTTTTATGAGATTTCATTTTTAGAAAACGTGCGTTTCTTTTGCTGTTAGTATATTATGGAGCTTTCAAATATGTTGATGAATTTTTATGTGCTGCTGCATGTATTTGCAAGTATTCATTTTTAATATATTTTAAGATTTATGAGCTTTAAGTCTCAATGAGCTGTAGATTCAGTATTTAGTGAATTGATACACATATCTGTGTTGGTACATTTGCAAGTCTGACTAAGCAGTCAGTAGATGGTGAACTTTCTTTCTGATAGGAATCAATTTTACGAAGATTGTAATTTCTAGTCCTACATCAAGTCTTCACATATCTATTGTTTAGGGACTGTTCATAATTTATGGCTGGTGTGTGTGTGTGATGTGATATGATTTTTATGGAGAAGCATGTACAATGTAAATGACCCCCCCCTAAAATCTATGTACAAAATAAGTGACATCCCCACCCCCCTTGCATGTCATGTACAAAATCAATTACCCCCACTTCCCATAATTTCTAAGCATAATTTTAAACATATTTTCATGTACAAAATTGCTAATACACCCCCCACCCCCAGTACATGTCTACAAACTTGATGACCCCCTAGCTCCCCAGAACAAAATGGGTGAGCCCCCTTTAAAATCATCATCACCCCCAAGCCATAAATTATGAACGGTCCCTTAGTCTTTGATAAAAATCTGTTGTTTTTCATGTTCAAGTAAATGCAGAGTTCAGTCTGACTGTTTGTCCATAATGTCACTGTCTCTCAAGGGATAGAAAATACACATAACAATTCCTTTCGCTGTTTTGAATTGAATACGTCCTCATACTGATGCCACAGCCCAGAAACTACAGGGATCAGTCATTAAATGAAACAGAATATCGACGAGATAGTATTTTAAAAAATAGGACCATGAATATCTTAATTATGTTATTATCTTAATGAAATTGTGTTCTCAATTTTCACTGCAAAAGATGTCCCAAACTATGCATGATCACCAACTGTATTTTTTCAGTTTATATACTACCGACAATAAGTATGGGAACACCCAAATATCAAAGTATAACAAAGTAAATGTAAAGTGGCAGTGTCGGTTTATTACAAGGGTAAATAAAACATTATTTGTTCTTACAATGTAATGGATTTATGGGGAGATATCATTGACTGCAATGGCAGTACAAGCAGCGGAAGAGGATAGGGGTCAAAACTGAAAGTCACAGTATCAATAGTGGGTGTGTCCTCCACGTTGATTGATGCATTCTGTACATCTGCGCCTCATGGACCTGACAAGGGTGCGGAGGGTAGCTTGGGGAATCAACTGCCATTCCATCTGGAGCCACTGTACAAGAACCTGAAGAGTCGGTGTCATTCCATGATTGTCTCTAACACGTCGTGCAAGATTGTCCCATAGATGTTCAATTGGAGCCAGATCCGGTGTATTAGCTGGCCACTGCATCACATTCACATTATTTTGTTGCAAGAAGTCTCTAATGACTTGAGCTCGATGTGGTCTGGCATTGTCATCTTGCAGCTGTGCTCCGGCACCAATGGTGTTCAAAGCTGGAAGAACCAGAGGACGCAGAATCTCATCCCGTACTCAATCCAGTCAAATTGCCCTGTACATGGTACAGAGGAGTACTGTGATGTAAGCTGAAGCCTCCCAAACCATCACAGAGCCACCACCAAATCTGTTCCTCTCCCCTCACAGTAGCATCATGGTAACGTTCTCCACGCCTCCTGCAAACCCTAATCCTTCCATCGTTGTGCTTCAAGACAGAAACGTGACTTCGTCAGTGAAGAGTACCCGGATCACTGCTGCTGATTCCATCTCAAATGTGCTCTGCCCAGGCCAGTCTTGCAGCTCTATGATGTGGGAGGTGATGAGGATCGATACCGGCTGGATCCACGGCGTGACCGCATATTAGCAGCTCTGAGACGGTTCCTGATGGTTGAGATGCTGACGTTTGTGGTTGGTTGCATGTCTGAGCTGCAGCCGTAGAGCACTGGCAGTTGTGAAGCGGTTCTAAGGGCGTGGAGTACAACATATCGATCGTCTGCCCTTGTGGTTTTAAGTGGCCTTCCTGATCGAGCGCTCTGTCCGGTGGTTTGGAACCGTTCCTCAGCCTATGAATGACTGAAGGGGCACCTGAAGACGACGACCAACGCTTTAAGGATTCACCATTCTCTAGCCATGCAATGGCCCTGCTTCTGCTGTTGTTGTTTAATGGTCTACGCTGAGGCATGTTGGGTAATTATATGAGGCTTCAGAAATGTCTTCAGCTTCTTTTAAGAAAAAGTTGCCACACCATGCATGGGAAGTCTGTCTTTCACGTGCACTTAGTTGTTGTGTTTGGGCGTTTGAATCAGACACAGTGCAGGTGTGTTTTGATACCTTCGTTTTTTGCTGTTTGGGACACTTTTTAATTTCATCAAAACTTCACGAATATTGAAGCAATTGCTTCAACTGTTGTTTTAACATGTCTTTTAAAGTGTCCACTAAGCACATGTCACAGATACATTTCACTTTTATGAATTAATGAAACCAGCACTGTCAGGTTTGTGCATGGCGATCAAATTTGAGGGTGTTCCCATACTTTCTGCTTGTAGTATACATCAGAGACACGTTGAGATCCCAGTTAGAATTGATCTTCAGTAACCCATGCTCGTTGTAAGAGACTTGGTTGACACGTCATTGTATCCCAGTTCCGTAGATCTATGCTCATGCTGTTAATAACTGGATTGTCTGGTCCAGATTTGATTGTTTACAGACCGCCGCCATATGGAGGGATTATTGTGAGTGCTGCGTTAAACAACAATATATATATTGTTTCATGAGGTTCATTTGTTCTGTCTTATTGTTTCAAAAGTAAAAGTATGATTGTATGGGACTTATTGTTGTTATTTGATAGATAACAACCACCATGATAACTTTATCATTAATATAAGCATGTCATGTTCACATGTATCAACCATGAAGTTGGTGTAGGGCGTTTAGTCTGAGTTGCCACAGCAACAAAGGAATATGGCCATCTGTGTTCGTTTTCTTTTTGCTGCCATATCAAAAATATGTAGGGAAATCCATCTCGCCTTATCTACCGAAAGTATCTGCTCCTGATTGAAGTTAAAGACAACAGCAGACAAAACTCATCTTTTATTTACAACAGACAAGTCAACGTTACCTCCTCACTCGGTATAAGACTGGATAATGATGACTTAATCTGCTTAACAAAGACGTCCGCATCATGTAATGACAACAAAGTAAAAAAGTTGAGTTCTGTTTAATGTAAGAAATTTGTGCTTCTTAAAATGTTGTCAGCACACAACCTGCATGAAAGACTACAATAAAGACTTGATTAACTACATGTTGTCAGCACACAACCTGCATGAAAGACTACATACAATAAAGACTTGATAAACTACATGTGTATTGCAGCATGTGTGGAAAAAATGCCCTTATTTGTTGATCACAGACATTGACGAGTCACAGAGGTCAGGTTTGTGCGCATGGTTCAAAACAACCTGGGAATGATTTGTAACAGGGTTAGGATTCACCGTGTACATTCATTGAAACAAATATAGGTTATTTTTACTTTTGAAGGACAAAAGCTACACTTGTGTAAATATGTAAACTCCAGTAAAATGTTTTGAGCAGAAATATGATTACCGGACATAAATGCATTCATGCATGTTGTGACTTCATTTTGTATTGGTTGTTGTTTGTTCAAGCACTCACAACCTTGGAAAACACAGGAAGTGTTCGGACATCCCTCTTCCATACAGCTTCAAGGAATTTCCATCACAGTACATAAAAATAATACTTTGTGTGATGAGTAGAAAAATGCTGATATCTGAGTAAATATATAGGCATACTTAACAGGTTACCATGGTTATAGAAAACTTTGAAATGAGTCCTGAGGAAAGCAGCTTCTCCCAACATCTGTGTGTATATATGCGAATGAAGGAAACCACACAATTATGGCACAGATTGTCTTCCATAGTTTGAAAGGTCTTTTATCTCACATGGCTGCTAGGAGTTCTTCTGTGGGATTTTGATGGTCACCTGAAAAAACAACCCAATTGAAGTGAGATCTTTACTTACTATCTATTTGGCTCATGATCCTATCATCAAAATCACATGGCTGAATGAGGTTTACGAATAAAATGGTAGTTTCAACATTAATTAATTAAAACGGCTCATGAGAATAGCAATAATACTTTCAAACAAACATGCTACCTTGCTTTTTGTTTAACACAATATTTAAATTAAATGACATAGCCTTCAAATGATCTGCATAGACAAGGCGGTGGGGTAGTCTAGTGATTAAAGCATTTGCTCAGAGGGCCAAAGACCGGGTTCAATTCCCCACGCGATTTGTCAATGTGAAGCCAATTTCTGGTGTACCCATACGATATTGCTGGAATATTGCTAAAAGCTGTATAAAACTAAACTCACTCACTCACTGAATAGACAAGAGAGAGATATTGTGACCAAGGCTATGATGAAACTCAGTCAACAACATCCCCACCTCGTGCCACCTAAACCATTTAGTGAGAGAGCGAGTTTAATTTTACGCCGCAATATTCCAGCATTATCAGGGACACCAGAAATGGGCTTCACACTTTGAACCCATGTGGGGAATCGAACCCAGGTCTTAGAGCAAACGCTTTTACCACTAGGCTAGCCTACTGCCCCCTAAACCATTTAGTCAACCACAGGAATCCCTACAGAACTTGGGGATAACTGTAAATGCCGAGTCGGTGATATTCCCCCACATCGACCTGTACATGACTACAACTGACCCCGGCTCACCAGGGTTGATTGTTTACACTCATCACATTTACTTACCGTTTTAGTCTCAGTGTATTGTTTGAGAGCCTCCTCACCCCTACAAACAGATAACAAAAACATCAACACTGTGACCCAATCCAATCCATGGACATATACAACTGGAGGACAAACTCTGTTCCATGTACAGTTGTTCTGACCATACAACCTTCCAGAGCAATAGACAACTTCTCAGTGACTGATGAAAATGTTGCAAAATTCCTGTGACACAAGAGTTTGTTTTGGTAGTAGGTCAAACTTAGTTCCATAGTTTTTGACCAAATAGCTTTGTGTGTTGCTTACAGTTTCCAGAGGACATAACTATGTATATATATTTACAATTGTCATTATTCCCAAGACCAACAGTCTGAAATGTCTGGGATACAGATGTAAACATAAACACTGTGTTGGAATAGTATACATTGCAGCCTGTAAACACTTGAGGCAAACAAGGGGTTGATAGCATGAACAACTAACTACAACATCAAGTAACATCGCAGTCACATGAGTTTGGGTTCCCTGAGCAACCACTGACTACTGCAGACTGACACGAATCTCATACAGCTCCACCAAACTCCATCAGGCAATACAAATCTGTCCTGATTGAGTTTTGTGGCAAACCTACTTATAGTACTGGCATGTAAGTATTACATAGAACAACCCACTGTTTCAAGTCAACTTACAGTTCTCTCCCTTGACCCGACATCTTATAGCCGACAAATGGCGTCTGGCAGGTCACAATATCATAGCAGTTCACCCTACAAAGGAATAAAATAACAACCTTGTTAAACTTGGTAAAAGCTTGAGTTCTTATTAAACATATGAAGATCATATTTTACATCATTTTTTTTCAGAAAATGTTTTGCAGAACCTGATTCTCAGATAACGACTATTCATGATCACCTCCAAGGAGCCACAAAACCTAATTAACTCAATATGATTGGATTCAAGATCAACCATCAACAGTTAACTTTATTGATCTAGAATTTTAAACCATAGCAATCCTGGAATGCATTGTCAGTTGGTGTCAATACAGACATATATGTCTGGAACATTTCTGTATTTTCATCTCTGAGGTTCACTGGACAAAATGTCTGCACAGGGTGCATGTAACACAAACATTTGTACCTGCCAACACCGGCACCTGTCTAATCCAGCACACTGTCAAAACCGGCGTCAAATTTTGGTCCCACAAATTTACAATGATATTATGATCACTAAAACATTGTCAAAACCTGTCTATTCCATATTCTGGCACGACTTTCCGGTCGCAACAAGCAATTTTACTGTAACCAACCCTGTCTAAACCGGCATGGGTATGAGCAGTCCAATCAAGGACCCATAATCCAATACACTAGTTAATCCTCTTGGCACGCTAGGTAATCAGGTAGTAGTGATTCCGCGGTGAATCAAACGCTCTAAGCCGGCATTGGTATGAGAAGTCCAATCATGGTCCCTTAATCCAATACATCATCAACATTGTTTTTATTCCTTCCACAATTACAAAAGATCATGTTGGAAAATACTGTCACTGTCTAATTCGGCACCCCGTCTAAACCGGCATTTTATTTTGGTCCCGTGGGGTGCCGGTTTAGACAGGTTCCACTGTACTTGTTGTTACACTGTGTCAAGTTTAGCATGAAGGTAATAAAAGGCCTATTTGCCTGAGAGTCAGTACAGATTGCATGAGTGGGGTATCCATCTAAAATTGATGCACAATATCTCAGTGGTTTAGTACCATAAAAGTGGCGCTAGGCATGAAGTGCACTGATCGTCAACACAACATCAAATGACATCTCACTCACTTTACTCAGTACCGTAGACAGGAGTTTCAAAAAGCAAATTTATCTTAAAAAATGTCCACATAATGAAATGTTACATTAACTTAGTAAAACATGACTTTTGACTAAAACGTTTTAGAAGTCATCACCAGCTTATGTCAACTGTTCAACACCCACAAGGAGTCTAGGGAATACTGTCTCAGCAAGCATTTGAAATAAGTAATGATACTGGCAAGATTGGAATGGTTTCCATGACAACAGCCTCACCACACACTGCCGGCCTGGAGCTTCTGTGACAGCATGAGTGCCTTGTTAATGTCGTTTGTGATGACGCTGCGACCCCGTGCTTGGTGGCGTTGGCTCTCTCTAGAACCTCCTCCACGTCACGGAACTTGATGATGGACTGTACCGGTCCGAATATCTGCAGGTAGAATTGTATTCATTGTGTTAGTGACGGCTTCGGTGTAAGGCCACTTTCAACTGGAATGTAATACATGCATCGTGATGTGGAAGAAAAGTGATGTGTTGAGAGTTTTGCCACAAAACCCTACAATATAAGTTGTTCACTAGTCACGAGGGGGCCATGGGTTGATGTACCCTCGATGTTTGTATCTGTAACATAAAGAAACATCGAGGGTACATCAACCCAGGGCCCCCGAGGGACCAGTGAACAACATATTTATCTTACCGAAAAACACCTCAATGTTAATTTTGAATTGTTTGAAGCACGGGTACATATCTGTAGATTTTGCTGACAAGAAAATCAGATTTAGAGTTATCTCCCTTCCATCGCTTTGCATTCGCAAAACATCGGTAATTTTTGTGATGCCATGTTGTTCAAGAAGTGCTACCACGAAGTACAGAATGAGTTGCCATTGACAGCGGGGTACATTGAAATGTTTCTCGCTTGTAAGCGGGGTAAATTCAAAATAATAGAAGAACGCTCAGCCAATCAGACAGCGACATTTAAGTGTGCAGTAAGATTAGTATGGTTGTGGTACTGACAATCATATGGCCAAATTCAGGAAACGTGTGACAGGGTGTGTGATTCAAACCCATAATCACAAGATCCTATCCTATCTAAGGGAAGCAACTATGCTCATCTACTTGCACCACTTTAAGTTGCATGGCCATCCATCCTCCCTTTCATACATAAAATATGCATCAAATTTGCAATTTTGAGTGTATTATCTAAGGGAAGCAACTATGCTCATCAGACTGTCACACTTTACGATAAATGAAGATCCATGCTCCCAACTCTTCCCAAGATAGGTGTAAGGTTTGCAGCTTGGGGTGAGTAAAAGTTTTTTTGCATGCAGTATTTCATGTTGTAAACAATAAAGTCAACAAAAAGCAAACCTGTATCCCACACAGCAATAAGAAGGACACTGCCCTCCCCACCCCTAACACAACCTACCTCCTCCCTAGCTATCCTCAAGTTGTCAGTGACATCGGAGAACACTGTAGGCTTGATGAAGTAGCCCTTGTCCCCCATACACTCTCCTGTGTCCTCCCCCTCTCTACCTACCTCCTCCCTAGCTATCCTCATGCTGTCAGTGACATCGGAGAACACTGTAGGCTTGATGAAGTAGCCCTTGTCCCCCATACACTCTCCTGTGTCCTCCCCCTCTCTACCTACCTCCTCCCTAGCTATCCTCATGTTGTCAGTGACATCGGAGAACACTGTAGACTTGATGAAGTAGCCCTTGTCCCCATACACCCTGTCTCCCCCCTCTCTACCTACCTCCTCCCTGGCTATCCTCATGCTGTCAGTGACATCGGAGAACACTGTAGGCTTGATGAAGTAGCCCTTGTCCCCATACACTCTCCTGTCTCTCCCCCACCTCTACCTACCTCCTCCCTAGCTATCCTCATGTTGTCAGTGACATGGAGAACACAGTAGGCTTGATGAAGTAGCCCTTGTCCCCATACACACTCCTGTCTCCTCCCCCCTCTACCTACCTCCTCCCTAGCTATCCTCATGTTGTCAGTGACGCCGAGAACACAGTAGGCTTGATGAAGTAGCCCTTGTCCCCATACACACTCCTGTCTCCTCCCCCTCTCTACCTACCTCCTCCCCTAGCTATCCTCATGCTGTCAGTGACATCCGGAGAACACTAGGCTTGATGAAGTAGCCCTTGTCCCCATATACACTCTCCTGTCTCCTCTCCCTCTCTACCTACCTCCTCCCTAGCTATCCTCATGCTGTCAGTGACATCGGAACACTGTGGAAGGCTTGATGAAGTAGCCCTTGTCCCTATACACACTCCTGTCTCCTCCCATCTCTCTACCTACCTCCTCCCTAGCTATCCTCATGCTGTCAGTGACATCGGAGAACACTGTAGGCTTGATGAAGTAGCCCTTGTCCCCCATACACACTCCTGTCTCCTCCCATCTCTCTACCTACCTCCTCCCTAGCTATCCTCATGTTGTCAGTGACATCGGAGAACACTGTAGGCTTGATGAAGTAGCCCTTGTTCCCCCATCTCTCGCCCCCGTACTGCAGCTTGGCACCTTCATCCTTGCCACTCTTTATCATGTCCAGGATCTTTTTGAACTGTGCATCGTCCACCTGCAGCCAACGGAAGGTACAGTTAGCCACATGAGGCCGTAACAACAACAGGGCTGACAGACTTGCTACCATGACGTTCCTCCTGTTATCCAGGCATATAATGTGTAATTGTGTGAACCAGATAACAAACAGATGAAAAGCTTAAATGTTTAATACTGACAATTCAAGGAGCATGATCAATCAGGACATGTGATTTTAATGTATGATAAGCAAATCCTGGTATGACCAAGGGACATAACTCTGAACCAAGAATTCCACAATGGAAATGGCCAGTGATAACAGCATTGTACAGTCCAGTCCTGGTTGAGAATACTCTTTGTCACTGCTATTGCCATCGCTGTCTGGCAAGTCTGTGGCGATGCAATAAGGTTGGACCACGGTACGGGCAATGACACCGGATGTTGAAGGCAGCAAGGCGTCCTTGCACCTTTTGGGCGCTGAAATGACGTTGACTTGTCCCAATTGTCCTCCTTGCCTAATCATCAGCTGTTTGGAACCGATTTCGCAAGTGTGAAACTCGGATATTGTGGTTTTGTCGAGCTGTTATCACAGGTGGTGCACCAGGTCGTGGACGATCAGCAACACTTCCGGTAGCCCGAAAACGTTGTCTGAGTCGACTTACAGTAGATGGATGCACATTAAAGTGCCTGGCAATCATCACATCTGAAGCACCTTGGCTGACCATACCGATACCCTGATTCCTTTCGTCTTGTGTCAAGTGTGGCATTTTCTCAAAGTGATTGAGTTCCACAATGCCTTGTGAATTTACAGGGCCTGGGTGCAGGTAATGCATGTGCAGAACGTCTTTCATGAATTCGGTTGTGTTTACGAAAAATGTCAAAGGTTCAGTTTTAAGTATCAAAGTTCATGTGAGAGGAATGCTCCTGGACTCGAACTCGAAATGGGCCAGAATAACAGCCCTTTATCCCTACATCCTCTGTATCGCAGGACAAAAATCTTTAATAGAACTTCTGTAAGTTTCAGGACAACAAATACCAATTGAGTTTTTAATGGCTTACAGTATAGTATTCATGTGGACTCAGAAATCTGGTATCTTTCTTTGTCACACAGTGGATGAAAAGCAACAGCTGTTTGCCCTATGTTCTCTCCACTGTACCAACATATCAAAACATTTCTCATCCTCTATTTATCACGAAGACATCTTTGGCATCTTTAAGATCATATATATATCCTTTGACTCTTTTGTGCTTTAAAGGTCACATGCAACGTAAAACAACTTTGCAGATTCTGATACCTTTCGGTATGGACATACCGAAACAAATAGTCAAAAATGCAAATTCAACTTATAAAGTTGAAAAATAACGCGATGAAAAAAAACGCGCGAAATCGGAGTTCAAACGTTTCACTAATTTTCCCCAGAGATTTCTGGGGAAACGGGTTTCAACAGCTGGGCTGCGCCCCTAGCACGTGCGCAAGTAAATAGGTTCGCGCAGCTTGGAAGCGGGTTGTCGGGTGAATACTCGGTGAAGGCCTTGGTGTGAGCTATTTTTCTAATGTTTTGTTGATATGTCACAGGCGCGAGCTTTTATATGTTATGACAGTAAATTAACTGTTTATATAATTTCATTTGTCTATTTCACCACACGTTCTTCTTACGAGAGCGGCTTTCTCAGTTCGATGCTTAAAAGCAATGTCATTATTTAGCGTTGACACAGTTTCTAACTGTGATATAGATATGTCGATTGTCACAGACAAAACTCAATGTCTTGTTTTATTGGCACCTATGTGTCTGCCTGCCTGTCTGCTAATGACAATATTCAATACACAACTGCAATCACTGACCACATGCAATTTGAACTTAACACCAATCAGGCTATACACCATAAACAAAACGCATTGATTTATGGCCCGAGTTCGGTCTCTGTCACATTATGTAATTACACAGACAGGCAGGTGTGATACTTGAACACATGACATGTTATGATGTCTGTTGATTGCAAAATGTTATACACAAAAAATGAGCATGTATTTACAAAACCCAACATCTCTATATACACACACAATATGAGGCCTGAAGGCGGCATCTGCTAATGAACCAGCCGTTACACTTGAGTGCACACCCACCCGCTCTGACTGGGTTCGGTATCCCGGCTGCTTCGTTTCGAGGGAGGTAAACCCAAGTACAAAATATTGCACTTTTGATTTGCGATTATACGCTTATAATTTTGTTTATTTGTTTTTTCATAATCAGCTATGCATATTATATGTCATGAAGAAGTGATAATTGTGTTTTAATTATGTTTGATTTTTTGGTTGCATGTGACCTTTAAGTGACATCTGCTTCATACTCCAAATGTTTGACCATAAAAGGCTTTAACTTCTCTGTTATGTTCACACTCATCCACTGTAGACACCACTGTGTGATGGTTCATTTCAGACCAGTGGTTTACACAACAGAACTAGATTTTGGTTAACAAGAAACACACTGGACTTTCGCCTGCCTTAGACAGGCGGACTTGTGGATGAGTCTCACCCTGACATCTGTTATAACCAAGAAGAATGTTGAATGTAAAACAGATTCTGACGATGAAGAGCGTGTAGGTATCACCTGAGGCCCCTGCTGCGTCATGACATCATACGGATCTCCTACGATGCGGTTCTCTGCCATGGTTTTCGCGACCTCCAATTTAATTTGTCATAGATCCCTTCCTGCACGAACGTCCTTGACCCTGCACAGCAGTTCTGGCCGTGGTTGGTCATGATGGCGGCATGGGCCCACATGGCTGCATCTTCCACTGTGGAAACAGACTCACATTTCAAAACTGAAATCAATGGTGTATTTCTGAACTAGCAACTGACATGCATATTTATGCTCAGCAAATAAGCAAATACATATTGAAGTCAATTTTTATAACATAAATACATTAACAATAATACCTTCAAATACTCCTGTTTAATCATTCAAAGCATGCCATTACTAGACAACCAATCAGTGACAATATGATGGCAAAGTAGTAATTTTAGCTCAGTTTAATTGACATAATTATTCTTATTCTGGCCACATGGAGTGACTCACCGTCAGCATCAGCAAGGATGATGAGAGGACTCTTCCCCCCGAGCTCCAGACTGACCCTCTTCAGGTTGCTGCGTCCGGCAGCCTGCATGATGAGGTGGCCCACCTACGTGAAGAACAGGGCGATGTTTTGCGAACAAATAAATAAACAATCAATCTTGTGTCTTTTAACAAACTGAACAATGTGCCCTTTAAATATTTAATTGCACATTGCGTTCTTAACTATTTAACTATACATTGTGTCCTTTAAATAATTATATATTGTGATCTTTATTAAGGGTGTCACGATACACCAATCTCACGATACGATACGTATCACGATTTTAAGGTCACACTACGATACGTATCGCGATACATAATTTTCGCGTATTCATAGCATTACGTTACCGGCAACATACGCGCTCTCTGATTGGTCCATCAAAATAGTCTAGCCAATCACAAAAGCTGTTAGTTTCCAACCTATTTTTTAAGTAAAGCTAGCTACATCTATTTATCGGAGCGGTCTCGTATAATTTTACTATCAAGACTTTGAAGGAGATGGATATAGCATAAAAATTTGAATCGATAAAGTTTTGAAATTGGAATCGATACACGCAAGCATGTATCGCGTATCGTATCGTCAGTAAAAATGTATCGATGTATCGATACATTCGCGATTCGTATCGCGACACCCCTAATCTTTATATATTTATTAACACATTGAGTCCTCTGTATATTTAACTACACATTGCGTCCTTTAAATATTTAATCATACATTGTGTCCTTTACATATTTAATTACATATTACATCCTTTAAGTATTTAATTATACATTGTGTCCTTTAAATAATTATACATTGTGTCCTTTAAATAATCATACATTGTGTCCATTATATATTTCATTACACATAGTGTCCTTTAGATAATTATTTTTTTATTATAAAAGGTATTGCTGTATGTAACTATAGTGCACTGTTATCTTTTAGTGGCTACTTTATATAGTCTCAGAGTTGTCTCCCTTTTGTGTCCTCTCTGCATGCAAGAAGGAGAAATCCCACAAAGATTTGATACAAACATATGTCCATGGGAAACCATATAATTCAGGAATCTCCACGGGGTGAGACTGGAACAGTGTAACAATCTGCTTACTTCAGTGGAGCCAGTGAAGGCCACCTTGTCCACGTCCATGTGTGTTCAGCGATGGCATGGCCGTGGGTCCAACTTCAGGAACAATGTTGACAACTCCTGGGGGGAATCCTGCCTACAACACAAGGCTCATAGACATAGGGGATCTGGACAACTAATCATCAAATATTCCTGAACACACACAGCTGGTCAAACTCTCAATGAGTAATTACACAGGTATCATCAGTTTTTGCTCAGATAAGACACACATGCCAATAGAATGCTGGAAGTACAGTTATGTAAAAATGATCCACTGAAAACATATGACAAGAACATCTGAATTTCCTCAAATTTGAGAATTACTAATTAATGCTTAATTCAGATGTAAATTCTCACTGAAAACTACATCTGTGTAGCGGGGAATATTGTTTTGTGGCTAAAAGTGGGGAGAGTTGCATCACTTTAGTAGGTCTGTTCATTAATGATGGGAATTCTACATGGGGGATCACAGCAAGTGGTCTACCTCCTTAATGAAAGACCCTGCATACAGGGCAGTGATGGGTGTCTGTTCACCTACCTCCTTAATGAGTGCCCCTGCATACAGAGCAGTGATGGGCGTCTGTTCACCTACCTCCTTAATGAGAGCCCCAGCATACAGAGCAGTGATGGGTGTCTGTTCACCTACCTCCTGAATGAGTGCCCTGCATACAGAGCGGTGATGGGCGTCTGTTCACCTACGTCCTTAATGAGAGCCCCTGCATACAGAGCGGTGATGGGCGTCTGTTCACCTACCTCCTTAATGAGAGCCCCTGCAAACAGAGCGGTGATGGGTGACTGTTCACCTACCTCCTTAATGAGAGCCCCTGCATACAGAGTGGTGATGGGCATCTGTTCACCTACCTCCTTAATGAGTGCCCCTGCATACAGAGTGGTGATGGGTGTCTGTTCAACTACCTCCTTAATGAGTGCCCCTGCATACAGAGCGGTGATGGGCGTCTGTTCACCTACCTCCTTAATGAGAGCCCCTGCATACAGATCAGTGATGGGTGTCTGTTCACCTACCTCCTTAATGAGAGCCCCTGCATACAGAGTGGTGATGGGTGTCTGTTCACCTACCTCCTTAATGAGAGCCCCTGCATACAGAGCGGTGATGGGCGTCTGTTCACCTACCTCCTAAATGACAGCCCCTGCATACAGAGTGGTGATGGGCGTCTGTTCACCTACGTCCTTAATGAGTGCCCCTGCATACAGAGCGGTGATGGGCATCTGTTCACCTACCTCCTAAATGAGAGCCCCTGCATACAGAGCGGTGATGGGCGTCTGTTCACCTACCTCCTTAATGAGAGCCCCTGCATACAGAGTGGTGATGGATGTCTGTTCACCTACGTCCTTAATGAGAGCCCCTGCATACAGAGTGGTGATGGGCGTCTATTCACCTACCTCCTTAATGAGAGCCCCTGCATACAGAGCAGTGATGGGCGTCTGTTCACCTGCCTCCTTAATGAGAGCCCCTGCATACAGAGCAGTGATAGGCGTCTGTTCACCTACCTCCTTAATGAGAGCCCCTGTATACAGAGCAGTGATGGGCATCTGTTCACCTACCTCCTTAATGAGAGCCCCTGCATACAGAGCGGTGATGGGCATCTGTTCACCTACCTCCTTAATGAGTGCCCCTGCATACAGAGCAGTGATGGGTGTCTGTTCAACTACCTCCTTAATGAGAGCCCCTGCATACAGAGCAGTGATGGGTGTCTGTTCACCTACCTCCTTAATGAGTGCCCCTGCATACAGAGCAGTGATGGGTGTCTGTTCACCTACCTCCTTAATGAGAGCCCCTGCATACAGGGCAGTGATGGGCGTCTGTTCACCTACCTCCTTAATGAGAGCCCCTGTATACAGGGCAGTGATGGGCGTCTGTTCACCTACCTCCTTAATGAGAGCCCCTGCATACAGGGCAGTGATGGGCATCTGTTGACCTACCTCCTTAATGAGAGCCCTGCATACAGAGCGGTGATGGGCGTCTGTTCACCTACCTCCTTAATGAGAGCCCCAGCATACAGAGTGGTGATGGGCATCTGTTCACCTACCTCCCTAATGAGAGCCCCTGCATACAGAGCAGTGATGGGCGTCTGTTCACCTACCTCCTTAATGAGTGCCCCTGCATACAGAGCAGTGATGGGCGTCTGTTCACCTACCTCCTTAATGAGTGCCCCTGCATACAGAGCATTGATGGACGCCTGTTCACCTACCACCTTAATGAGTGCCCCTGCATACAGAGCAGTGATGGGCGTCTGTTCACCTACCTCCTTAATGAGAGCCCCAGCATACAGGGCAGTGATGGGTGTCTGTTCACCTACCTTCTTAATGAGAGCCCCTGCATACAGAGCAGTGATGGGTGTCTGTTCACCTACCTCCTTAATGAGAGCCCCAGCATACAGAGCGGTGATGGGCGTCTGTTCACCTACCTCCTTAATGAGTGCCCCTGCATACAGAGCAGTGATGGGCGTCTGTTCACCTACCTCCTTAATGAGTGCCCCTGCATACAGAGCATTGATGGACGTCTGTTCACCTACCACCTTAATGAGTGCCCCTGCATACAGAGCAGTGATGGGCGTCTGTTCACCTACCTCCTTAATGAGAGCCCCAGCATACAGGGCAGTGATGGGTGTCTGTTCACCTACCTTCTTAATGAGAGCCCCTGCATGCAGAGCAGTGATGGGTGTCTGTTCACCTACCTCCTTAATGAGAGCCCCAGCATACAGAGCGGTGATGGGCGTCTGTTCACCTACCTCCTTAATGAGTGCCCCTGCATACAGAGCAGTGATGGGCGTCTGTTCACCTACCTCCTTAATGAGACCTCCAGCATACAGGGCAGTGATGGGCGTCTGTTCACCTACCTCCTTAATGAGTGCCCCTGCATACAGAGCAGTGATGGGTGTCTGTTCAACTACCTCCTTAATGAGAGCCCCTGCATACAGAGCAGTGATGGGTGTCTGTTCACCTACCTCCTTAATGCGTGCCCCTGCATACAGAGCAGTGATGGGTGTCTGTTCACCTACCTCCTTAATGAGAGCCCCTGCATACAGGGCAGTGATGGGCGTCTGTTCACCTACCTCCTTAATGAGAGCCCCTGCATACAGGGCAGTGATGGGCGTCTGTTCACCTACCTCCTTAATGAGAGCCCCTGCATACAGGGCAGTGATGGGCATCTGTTGACCTACCTCCTTAATGAGAGCCCTGCATACAGAGCAGTGATGGGCGTCTGTTCACCTACCTCCTTAATGAGAGCCCCAGCATACAGAGTGGTGATGGGCATCTGTTCACCTACCTCCCTAATGAGAGCTCCCTGCATACAGAGCAGTGATGGAGCCTGTTCACCTACCTCCTTAATGAGTGCCCCTGCATACAGAGCATTGATGGGCGCCTGTTCACCTACCACCTTAATGAGTGCCCCTGCATACAGAGCAGTGATGGGCGTCTGTTCACCTACCTCCTTAATGAGAGCCCCAGCATACAGGGCAGTGATGGGTGTCTGTTCACCTACCTTCTTAATGAGAGCCCCTGCATACAGAGCAGTGATGGGTGTCTGTTCACCTACCTCCTTAATGAGAGCCCCAGCATACAGAGCGGTGATGGGCGTCTGTTCACCTACCTCCTTAATGAGTGCCCCTGCATACAGAGCAGTGATGGGCGTCTGTTCACCTACCTCCTTAATGAGTGCCCCTGCATACAGAGCATTGATGGACGTCTGTTCACCTACCACCTTAATGAGTGCCCCTGCATACAGAGCAGTGATGGGCGTCTGTTCACCTACCTCCTTAATGAGAGCCCCAGCATACAGGGCAGTGATGGGTGTCTGTTCACCTACCTTCTTAATGAGAGCCCCTGCATGCAGAGCAGTGATGGGTGTCTGTTCACCTACCTCCTTAATGAGAGCCCCAGCATACAGAGCGGTGATGGGCGTCTGTTCACCTACCTCCTTAATGAGTGCCCCTGCATACAGAGCAGTGATGGGCGTCTGTTCACCTACCTCCTTAATGAGACCTCCAGCATACAGGGCAGTGATGGGCGTCTGTTCACCTACCTCCTTAATGAGTGCCCCTGCATACAGAGCAGTGATGGGTGTCTGTTCAACTACCTCCTTAATGAGAGCCCCTGCATACAGAGCAGTGATGGGTGTCTGTTCACCTACCTCCTTAATGCGTGCCCTGCATACAGAGCAGTGATGGGTGTCTGTTCACCTACCTCCTTAATGAGAGCCCCTGCATACAGGGCAGTGATGGGCGCCTGTTCACCTACCTCCTTAATGAGAGCCCCTGTATACAGGGCAGTGATGGGCGATCTGTTCACCTACCTCCTTAATGAGAGCCTGCATACAGGGCAGTGATGGGCATCTGTTGACCTACCTCCTTAATGAGAGCCCTGCATACAGAGCAGTGATGGGCGTCTGTTCACCTACCTCCTTAATGAGAGCCCCAGCATACAGAGTGGTGATGGGCATCTGTTCACCTACCTCCCTAATGAGAGCTCCTGCATACAGAGCAGTGATGGGCGTCTGTTCACCTACCTCCTTAATGAGTGCCCCTGCATACAGAGCAGTGATGGGCGTCTGTTCACCTACCTCCTTAATGAGTGCCCAAGCATACAGAGCATTGATTGACGTCTGTTCACCTACCACCTTAATGAGTGCCCCTGCATACAGAGCAGTGATGGGCGTCTGTTCACCTACCTCCTTAATGAGAGCCCCAGCATACAGGGCAGTGATGGGTGTCTGTTCACCTACCTTCTTAATGAGAGCCCCTGCATACAGAGCGGTGATGGGCGTCTGTTCACCTACCTCCTAAATGACAGCCCCTGCATACAGAGTGGTGATGGGCGTCTGTTCACCTACGTCCTTAATGAGTGCCCCTGCATACAGAGCGGTGATGGGCGTCTGTTCACCTACCTCCTAAATGAGAGCCCCTGCATACAGAGCGGTGATGGGCGTCTGTTCACCTACCTCCCTAATGAGAGCCCCTGCATAGAGAGTGGTGATGGATGTCTGTTCACCTACGTCCTTAATGAGAGCCCCTGCATACAGAGTGGTGATGGGCGTCTGTTCACCTACCTCCTTAATGAGAGCCCCTGCATACAGAGCAGTGATGGGCGTCTGTTCACCTGCCTCCTTAATGAGAGCCCCTGCATACAGAGCAGTGATGGGCGTCTGTTCACCTACCTCCTTAATGAGAGCCCCTGTATACAGAGCAGTGATGGGCATCTGTTCACCTACCTCCTTAATGAGAGCCCCTGCATACAGAGCGGTGATGGGCATCTGTTCACCTACCTCCTTAATGAGTGCCCCTGCATACAGAGCAGTGATGGGTGTCTGTTCAACTACCTCCTTAATGAGAGCCCCTGCATACAGAGCAGTGATGGGTGTCTGTTCACCTACCTCCTTAATGAGTGCCCCTGCATACAGAGCAGTGATGGGTGTCTGTTCACCTACGTCCTTAATAAGAGCCCCTGCATACAGGGCAGTGATGGGCGTCTGTTCACCTACCTCCTTAATGAGAGCCCCTGTATAGAGGGCAGTGATGGGCGTCTGTTCACCTACCTCCTTAATGAGAGCCCCTGCATACAGGGCAGTGATGGGCATCTGTTGACCTACCTCCTTAATGAGAGCCCTGCATACAGAGCGGTGATGGGCGTCTGTTCACCTACCTCCTTAATGAGAGCCCCAGCATACAGAGTTGTGATGGGCATCTGTTCACCTACCTCCCTAATGAGAGCCCCTGCATACAGAGCAGTGATGGGCGTCTGTTCACCTACCTCCTTAATGAGTGCCCCTGCATACAGAGCAGTGATGGGCGTCTGTTCACCTACCTCCTTAATGAGTGCCCCTGCATACAGAGCATTGATGGACGTCTGTTCACCTACCACCTTAATGAGTGCCCCTGCATACAGAGCAGTGATGGGCGTCTGTTCACCTACCTCCTAAATGAGAGCCCCAGCATACAGGGCAGTGATGGGTGTCTGTTCACCTACCTTCTTAATGAGAGCCCCTGCATACAGAGCAGTGACGGGTGTCTGTTCACCTACCTCCTTAATGAGAGCCCCAGCATACAGAGCGGTGATGGGCGTCTGTTCACCTACCTCCTTAATGAGTGCCCCTGCATACAGAGCAGTGATGGGTGTCTGTTCACCTACCTCCTTAATGAGAGTCCCAGCATACAGAGCATTGATGGGCGTCTGTTGACCTTCCTCCTTAATGAGGGCCCCTGCATACAGAGCAGTGATGGGCGTCTGTTCACCTACCTCCTTAATGAGACCTCCAGCATACAGGGCAGTGATGGGCGTCTGTTCACCTACCTCCTTAATGAGTGCCCCTGCATACAGAGCAGTGATGGGTGTCTGTTCAACTACCTCCTTAATGAGAGCCCCTGCATACAGAGCAGTGATGGGTGTCTGTTCACCTACCTCCTTAATGAGTGCCCCTGCATACAGAGCAGTGATGGGTGTCTGTTCACCTACCTCCTTAATGAGAGCCCCTGCATACAGGGCAGTGATGGGCGTCTGTTCACCTACCTCCTTAATGAGAGCCCCTGTATACAGGGCAGTGATGGGCGTCTGTTCACCTACCTCCTTAATGAGAGCCCCTGCATACAGGGCAGTGATGGGCATCTGTTGACCTACCTCCTTAATGAGAGCCCTGCATACAGAGCGGTGATGGGCGTCTGTTCACCTACCTCCTTAATGAGAGCCCCAGCATACAGAGTGGTGATGGGCATCTGTTCACCTACCTCCTTAATGAGAGCCCCTGCATACAGAGCAGTGATGGGCGTCTGTTCACCTACCTCCTTAATGAGAGCCCCTGCATACAGAGCAGTGATGGGCGTCTGTTCACCTACCTCCTTAATGAGTGCCCCTGCATACAGAGCAGTGATGGGCGTCTGTTCACCTACCTCCTTAATGAGTGCCCCAGCATACAGAGCATTGATGGACGTCTGTTCACCTACCACCTTAATGAGTGCCCCTGCATACAGAGCAGTGATGGGCGTCTGTTCACCTACCTCCTTAATGAGAGCCCCAGCATACAGAGCATTGATGGACGTCTGTTCACCTACCACCTTAATGAGTGCCCCTGCATACAGAGCAGTGATGGGCGTCTGTTCACCTACCTCCTTAATGAGAGCCCCAGCATACAGAGCGGTGATGGGCGTCTGTTCACCTACCTCCTTAATGAGTGCCCCTGCATACAGAGCAGTGATGGGCATCTGTTCACCTACCTCCTTAATGAGACCTCCAGCATACAGGGCAGTGATGGGCGTCTGTTCACCTACCTCCTTAATGGGAACCCTGCATACAGGGCAGTGATGGGTGTCTGTTCACCTACCTCCTTAATGAGAGCCCCTGCATACAGAGCAGTGATGGGTGTCTGTTCACCTACCTCCTTAATGAGAGCCCCAGCATACAGAGTGGTGATGGGCATCTGTTCACCTACCTCCTTAATGAGAGCCCCTGCATACAGAGCAGTGGTGGGCGTCTGTTCACCTACCTCCTTAATGAGAGCCCCAGCATACAGGGCAGTGATGGGTGTCTGTTCACCTACCTCCTTAATGAGAGCCCCTGCATACAGGGCAGTGATGGGTGTCTGTTGACCTACCTCCTTAATGAGAGCCCCAGCATACAGAGTGGTGATGGGCATCTGTTCACCTACCTCCTTAATGAGAGCCCCTGCATACAGAGCGGTGATGGGCGTCTGTTCACCTACCTCCTTAATGAGAGCCCCAGCATACAGAGCGGTGATGGGTGTCTGTTCTGCAGGTTTCAGAACGATGGTACAGCCACAGACGAGAGCTGGAGCCCACTTCCATGACACCATGGCCAGGGGGTAGTTCCACTGAAACAAATCATATCCGTCAACATATCTGTAAATCATGTACAAATTCAGTTTGAAGCCTAAAACTCAAAAGATCATTATGTGCTGTCATGTATAATAATCATATTTATTTAACTCCAAAACATTTAGAAATTCAGTCACCAATACTGAACCATATCATTATCAGATGCTTGACTGGCATTTCAGAAGACGCTACTTGATGAACATTTTCTGGATTGCATCTTCTTTTTATTCTTTGATACGTTTTTCGGGGCCTATTCCAGCCCCATCGTCAGGTTTCTTTATGTTCATGTCATTATCATTCCACAATATTCTTAATGTTGGTAAATGGCATTGAGTTATGTCAACATATCCATTATGTGTCATATTGCATCGAAGATTGTGCGTCTTTTTCACAAAAACACCAAGTTTTTTAATATCAGTATCTCACCGGGATGATCTGTCCGCACACACCAACAGGCTCGCGCCGTGTGAACGTGAAGTAGCTTCCATCTGAAGGATCAGTGAGTGAGTGAGGTAAGTTTTCTGTCACTTTTAGCACTACACCTGCAATATCACGGCAGGGGACACGAGAAATGGGCTTTACACATTGTACCCATGTGGGGAATCAAACCCGGGTCTTCAGCTTGACCAGTGGACGTTTTAACCCCTAGACTACCCCACCGTCCTGTTAGGAATTGAAACTCCACAGCACAGTGGGCATGTGTATCCACTGGTGGTGGTGGAATGTAGTGAAGTGACCATCCAATACACATAACAATACACCTGCTATACTATTAAACACATCCAATCATCAATGAGAACCAACCAATCCACTTAAATAGAAAATTTCCGGTCAATTAATGTAACAATGGCTTTAAAGCAATTGTACATTATAGCAGACAACAGATATATTTTCAATCAGTATAATATATTTCACATGTAACCACATATATGTCTGTCACTATGTAGAGTCTACATGTCTGATGGGATTCTCTTGTCACGGCAAAGAGTATGTGATCATTGAGATTAACACTACAATTCCCTGTCATAATGGCTCTGGACGACTCACCAACAGGGATTGTCTGACCAGTGATCTTGTCACACCAGCCGGCGAAGTAGCGGAAACAGTCAATGGTTGCTCCGATGTCATCTACAGAATCCAGGAATGGCTTCCCATTATCCAGAGTCTCCAGACTCTGTCAACACCACAACATAAGGTTAGAGCTAATAGCTTATAATATGCAGGACATTTAGTTCCAGACCCCCATAGGTATAAGTCTACAAATGTTAGTTCTCATTAACTAGAAAGATCTTTGGGCAATGTTTCTCAACCAGTTCACAATGCTGTAATTTTTTATGCTGACTAGAAAAGAAAAGGAATAACAGGAAATGTAAACATGTTTGTCTTGTTTTTGAACTTGGTACAATCCTGAGGACAAGTGAATAAAGCACCAGTCTTTAAACGAACTCTAAGCTGGAATACCCAGGGGTGAAGTGGAAACATGGTGTATTGGTTATATATGATGGTGGATTCGTGGAGGTAAGCTGCAGCGGAAGAGGTCTGTGGTTTGATTGCTTACTGCGATGTACTCCTTGTCCCGCTCCAGCAGATCTGCAAACTTGGTGATGAGAGCTGCTCTCTTGGATGCGTCCATCGTCCTCCATGCTGACCCTGTCCTGAAGGCCGACCGGGCTGATGCTACTGCCAGGTCCACATCAGCCTGTCGGACACAACAGTCATCTACACTCTGACACAACAGTCATCTACACACTGACACAATGTGTCAGACACAACTGTCATCTACACACTGACACAATGTGTCAGACACAACTGTCATCTACACACAGACACAAAGTGTCAGACACAACAGTCATCTACACACTGACACAATGTGTCTGACACAACAGTCATCTACACACTGACAATGTGTCGGACACAACAGTCATCTACACACTGACACAATGTGTCAGACACAACTGTCATCTACACACTGACACAATGTGTCAGACACAACTGTCATCTACACACAGACACAAAGTGTCAGACACAACAGTCATCTACACACTGACACAATGTGTCGGACACAACAGTCATCTACACACTGACAATGCCTCGGACACAACAGTCATCTACACACTGACACAATGTTTTGGATACAACAGTCATCTCATGCTGACACAATGTGTTGCTTTGGTACTGGGAACTTAATTAGTACTTAGTTGCATTTCAGTCGCAGTGATTGGGAAGGCATATCATTTTCAAGATTTACTTATTCAGGGCTGTGCAGTTGGTCCAACATGGAGTCATGATATGGTAAAATCTACAACGTTTCCAGATTGGAACCAAATCTGTATCGTTAAGACTCACAGATCTAAACATTTACAAACATTCTCCTTAAATGAAACATGTCAATGTCCAAGTTTTTATATGTTAGTTTGTACTTGTGACTGAGTCATCAATATTCCAGCCTTATGAACACTGACTCTGAGCCATATGAGCTAGTGGTTGATACCATGAGCAATGAGTGATGCTATCAGATTGTGATGACACACTTGTGGTCACGTCACTAAGTCAGACAGCATCCATTATGGTCCACTCTTACAACAAGCGTAGGTGTCTGGGGACAATTCTTACCCAATCTACACAAATCCTTATGAAAAAACTAAACGTTCATAAGTTCGAAGTTATTCACAATGTGATATCTCACTACTCTCAATTTACAGAGAAAATATCATTTCTTCGTTACGTCCTAGTTTTAAATCTAAAGGTAATATTCTAGTTATTTTACTGTCCTTTGTTGACAGGTTTTCATATTGTTAAAGATTGTCTTTTATTAATATTTAAATTTCATAGTCACGATAAGGCTGAAAATTGGCGATGTGACTTTAAATGCTAACTCACTCACTCACTCTGTTTACAGAACAGGTATTAATATCATTTTCAATATACTGAACCAACCTTTCTACCAAAGCATGCTCACCTTGTCTGCCTCCTGTATCTCACAGATTACCTCCCCTGTGCACGGGTTCAAGGTCGAGAAGGTGCGTCCACTCTGCGCGTCCACCCACTCATTGTTGATGAACAGCTGAAGAAGAAGCAGCATTCATAATCATCACAAGATATCTGGGTACCGTATCACAAACCTATCGTAGCACCACGACTGTCATAAGTCCATGTTACAGTATAGGAGGTACGATAGCCATAGCACCACGATTGTCATAAGTCTATGTTACAGTATAGGAGGTGCAATAGCCGTAGCACCACGACTGTCATAAGTCCATGTTACAGTATAGGAGGTACGATAGCCGTAGCACTACGACTGTCATAAGTCTACGTTACAGCATAGGAGGTACAATAGCCATAGCAGTACGACTGCCATAAGTCCATGTTACAGCAAAGGAGGTACAATAGCCCCATCACTACGACTGTCATAAGTCTATGTTAGAGTATAGGAGGTACGATAGCCGTAGCACTACGACTGTCATAAGTCTATGTTACAGCATAGGAGGTACGGTAGCCGTAGCGCTATGACTGTCATAAGTCTACGTTACAGCATAGGAGGTACAATAGCCGTAGCACCACGACTGTCATAAGTCAATGTTACAGCATAAGAGGTACGATAGCTCCAGCACTATGACTGTCATAAGTCTATTTTACAGCATAGGAGATATGATAGCCGTAGCGCTATGACTGTCATAAGTCTATTTTACAGCATAGGAGGTACGATAGCCGTAGCACTACGACTGTCATAAGTCTACGTTACAGCATAGGAGGTACAATAGCCGTAGCAGTACGACTGTCATAAGTCCATGTTACAGCAAAGGAGGTACAATAGCCCCATCACTACGACTGTCATAAGTCTATGTTAGAGTATAGGAGGTACGATAGCCGTAGCACCACGACTGTCATAAGTCCATGTTACAGCATAGGAGGTACGATAGCCAAAATACTATGACTGTCATAAGTCTATTTTACAGCATAGGAGATATGATAGCCGTAGCGCTATGACTGTCATCAGTCAATGTTACAGCATAGGAGGTATGATAGCCGTAGCACCATGACTTTCATAAGTCTATTTTACAGCATAGGAGATAAGATAGCCGTAGCTTATGACACCACGACTGTCATAAGTCTTTGTTACAGCATAGGAGGTACAATAGCCGTAGTGCTATGACTGTCATAACTCTATGTTACAGCATAGGAGGTACAATAGCCATAGCACCACGACTGTCATAAGTCTAAGTTACAGCATAGGAGGTACGGTAGCCATAGCAACGACTCTCATAAGTCTATGTTACAGCATAGGAGGTACAATAGCCGTAGCAACGACTCTCATAAGTCTATGTTACAGCATAGGAGGTACGATAGCCATAGCACTACGACTGTCATAAGTCTAAGTTACAGCATAGGAGGTACGGTAGCCATAGCACTACGACTGTCATAAATCTACGTTACAGCATAGGAGGTAGATAGTCGTAGCGCTACAACTGTCATAAGTCTATGTTACAGCATAGGAGGTACGATAGCTATAGCACTACGACTGTCATAAGTCTAAGTTACAGCATAGGAGGTACGGTAGCCATAGCACTACGACTGTCATAAATCTACGTTACAGCATAGGAGGTTCGATAGTCGTAGCGCTACAACTGTTATAAGTCTATGTTACAGCATAGGAGGTACAATAGCCATAGCACTACGACTGTCATAAGTCTATGTTACAGCATAGGAGGTACGATAGGCGTAGTACCACGACTGTTCTAAGTCTATGTTACAGCATAGGAGGTACGATAGTCGTAGCGCTACAACTGTCATAAGTCTATGTTACAGCATAGGAGGTACGATAGCCGTAGTGCCACGACTGTCATAAGTCTATGTTACAGCATAGGAGGTACGATAGGCGTAGTACCAGTAGCAACGACTGTCATAAGTCTATGTTACAGCATAGGAGGTACGATAGCCATAGTGCTACAACTGTCATAAGTCTATGTTACAGCATAGGAGGTACGGTAGCCGTAGCGCTTTGACTGTCATAAGTCCATGTTACAGCATAGGAGCTACGATAGCCGTAGCACCACGACTGTCATAAGTCAATGTTACAGCATAAGAGGTACGATAGCTCCAGCACTATGACTGTCATAAGTCTATTTTACAGCATAGGAGATAAGATAGCCGTAGCTTATGACACCACGACTGTCATAAGTCTTTGTTACAGCATAGGAGGTACAATAGCCGTAGTGCTATGACTGTCATAACTCTATGTTACAGCAGAGGAGGTACAATAGCCATAGCACCACGACTGTCATAAGTCTAAGTTACAGCATAGGAGGTACGGTAGCCATAGCAACGACTCTCATAAGTCTATGTTACAGCATAGGAGGTACAATAGCCGTAGCAACGACTCTCATAAGTCTATGTTACAGCATAGGAGGTACGATAGCCATAGCACTACGACTGTCATAAGTCTAAGTTACAGCATAGGAGGTACGGTAGCCATAGCACTACGACTGTCATAAATCTACGTTACAGCATAGGAGGTACGATAGCCATAGCACTACGACTGTCATAAGTCTAAGTTACAGCATAGGAGGTACGGTAGCCATAGCACTACGACTGTCATAAATCTACGTTACAGCATAAGAGGTACGATAGTCGTAGCGCTACAACTGTCATAAGGCTATGTTACAGCATAGGAGGTACAATAGCCATAGCACTACGACTGTCATAAGTCTATGTTACAGCATAGGAGGTACGATAGGCGTAGTACCACGACTTTCATAAGTCTATGTTACAGCATAGGAGGTACGATAGTCGTAGCGCTACAACTGTCATAAGTCTATGTTACAGCATAGGAGGTACGATAGCCGTAGTGCCACGACTGTCATAAGTCTATGTTACAGCATAGGAGGGACGATAGGCGTAGTACCACGACTGTCATAAGTCTATGTTACAGCATAGGAGGTACGATAGCCGTAGTGCTACAACTGTCATAAGTCTATGTTACAGCATAGGAGGTACGGTAGCCGTAGCGCTTTGACTGTCATAAGTCCATGTTACAGCATAGGAGCTACGATAGCCGTAGCACCACGACTGTCATAAGTCAATGTTACAGCATAAGAGGTACGATAGCTCCAGCACTATGACCGTCATAAGTCTATTTTACAGCATAGGAGATATGATAGCCGTAGCGCTATGACTGTCATAAGTCTATTTTACAGCATAGGAGGTACGATAGCCCCAGCACTATGACTGTCATAAGTCCATGTTACAGCATAGGAGGTCCGATAGCCGTAGCGCTACAACTGTCATAAGTCTATGTTACAGCATAGGAGGTACGATAGCCGTAGCACCATGACTTTCATAAGTCTATGTTACAGCATAGGAGGTACGGTAGCCGTAGAGCTATGACTGCCATAAGTCCATGTTACAGCATAGGTCGTACGATAGCCCCAGCACTATGACTGTCATAAGTCTATTTTACAGCATAGGAGATATGATAGCTGTAGCGCTATGACTGTCATAAGTCTATGTTACAGCATAGGAGGTATGATAGCCGTAGCGCTACAACTGTCATAAGTCTATGTTACAGGAGGTACAATAGCCCCAACACTATGCCTGTCATAAGTCTGTGTTACAGCATAGGAGGTACGATAGCCGTAGCACTATGACTGTCATAAGTCTATGTTACAGCATAGGAGGTACGATAGCCGTAGCCCTACGACTGTCATAAGTCTATGTTACAGCATAGGAAGTACGATAGTCGTAGCACTACGACTGTCATAAGTCAATGTTACAGCATAGGAGGTACAATAGCCGTAGCAGCAGTACGACTGTCATAAGTCTACGTTACAGCATAGGAGGTACGATAGCCGTAGCGCTACAACTGTCATAAGTCCATGTTACAGTATAGGAGGTACGATAGCCATAGCACCATGACTTTCATAAGTCTATGTTACAGCATAGGAGGTGCGGTAGCCGTAGCACCATGACTGTCATAAGTCTATGTTACAGCATAGGAGGTACGATAGCCGTAGCACCACGACTGTCATAAGTCCATGTTACAGCATAGGAGGTACAATAGCCGTAGCAGTACGACTGTCATAAGTCTACGTTACAGCATAGGAGGTACGATAGCCGTAGCGCTACAACTGTCATAAGTCCATGTTACAGTATAGGAGGTACGATAGCCATAGCACCATGACTTTCATAAGTCTATGTTACAGCATAGGAGGTACGGTAGCCGTAGCACCATGACTGTCATAAGTCTATGTTACAGCATAGGAGGTACGATAGCCGTAGCACCACGACTGTCATAAGTCCATGTTACAGCATAGGAGGTACAATAGCCGTAGCAGTACGACTGTCATAAGTCTACGTTACAGCATAGGAGGTACGATAGTCATAGCGCTATGACTGTCATAAGTCTATGTTACAGCATAGGAGGTACGATAGCCGTAGCACCACGACTGTCATAAGTCAATGTTACAGCATAGGAGGTACGATAGCCCCAGCACTATGACTGTCATAAGTCTATTTTACAGCATAGGAGATATGATAGCCGTAGCCCTATGACTGTAATAAGTCAATGTTACAGCATAGGAGGTACGATAGCCGCAGCACCATGACTGTCATAAGTCTATGTTACAGTATAGGAGGTAAGATAGCCGTAGCCCTACGATAGCTTTGTGAAACGGAGCCCAGGTCGTGAAGAATAGTTTGCTAGGAATCGAAAAATAATGAACAACCTGACCTCAATCCCTTCCTAAAGGATTCAAGTCTCTAGTAAGGAAAACTCTGTGATGTAATATTTTCAAAGTACATTCCAAAAGTTACATGATGAAACTAGTGAAAACTATATGATATTTTTTTTTGTCCTCAGAAAACCTTAAAGCAGGAGGGAAAAAAACAAAAATAGAAATCACCAGTAAAAGTAATATTCCTTTTAAATACTAAATGTATTTTACTTTTGGCAATTTATGAAGTGTATACCACGCAAAAAACAATCTAAAAATATTTTCTTGCATATTAACATTTTTGGCCAATTAATTAATTAATTAAAAAGCGCCGTGGAATTAATGAATGAATGAATGAATTTGTGTGCGTGCGTGTGTGCGCGCGCGTGTGTGTATGTGTATGTAAAACAAGAAATAGAATTGGTCTGGCCTCAAAACTCACTCACTCAATTTACTGTGTGTATGAGATGTTTCTGCATATAGAAAAAATCCTGTGAGTATAAACAAAACACTATTATTTTTTAATAGATTGTGATCCTAATCCAGCTATTTTTAGACACAAGCTGTGTGACACATTTGAACTCAATTTTGTAGATGTTTGTGAATCTGAGATTTACAGATAACCCATATTTTGATGGAATTTAGATCATAAAATCAGATAACCCATATTCTGTCCTTTATCAAAAAATGAGAGCACTACAGTTACAGTAACTCACCTTTGTTCATTTCTGTGACGATGTGACAGATATAGTCATATGTATAAAAAGCATACTCACTAATCTTGTATACTTTTTGGAGCATTTTGTGACATCAGTCTTGAAATGAACTACTATTCTATTTTCTATGCTGACCAAAGAATAATTACCATCATCTCACATTCCACAGGGGCGTGTGAGGGGTAGCCTAAGTGGTTAAAGCATTCGCTTGTCACACCAAAGACCTGGGTTTGATTAAGCCACATGGGTACAATCTGTAAAGCCATTTCTGGTGTCCCCGTCGTGATATTGCTGGACTATCTAAGAGTGGCGTAAAACTAAACTCACTAACTCACATTCCACGGTTTTGCTTCAACAATCCAAATTATTTCCTTGCTTTAACTAACATACATACATAAAAAGGTGAGGTGAGATTGGGTTTAACGTCGTGCTTGAGAATATTTCGGTCATATGACGACGTACATGCGTGTGTATGTGACTGACTGACTGAGTTTAGTTTTATGCCGCTTTTAGCAATATTCCAGCAATATCACGGCGGGGGACACCAGAAATGGGCTTAACACATTGTGCCCATGTGGGGAATCGAACCCGGGTCTTCGGTGTGACGAGCCAACGCTTTAACCACTAGGCTACCCCACCGCCCAGCGTGTGTTTGTGTATCTGTGGCTGCTGGTACTAGCCTAGACGTAAGCTGGTTTTATAATGCTAGCCCACTGAGATACCATCCAGCAGACATGAATACCCCACTCAGACACAGTATACTGACTCCGAGCCGACCAGTCCTTGTTGTAACCATTAATGCCAAGCGTCAGGCAGGGACCAACAAGTACCATATTTTAACGTCTTTTGGTATGACGCGCTCGGGGATCGAACCCGCGACATTCCGCTCTCCGGGCAGATGCCCTAACCACTACACCACGGAGGCAGTCACATACATAAAAATAAAGCAATACATTAATGTAAACATATCCCACATATGAAAGTGTTATTTCATATTGATTGCGATACTGCTGACTGACTGCCTGCTTGATTCAAGAACTCAAGAACATCGGAATCCTGTTGTTACTGAATGTGTCTGTGCTTTACATATTATGTGAAACTGATAAGTTCAGTAAAACCAGAGCAGATGATATACTCAACAACTTTAGAAATGCACCATAATAAAATGCACCGACAATGCTCCTATATCATGGGTACATTTCAGTCTGACGGGGATATTTCGTATCATATGGGTGGTGCGTTTCTAATGTTGTTCTGTATATTACAAATTAAGGACTATGGAAGCCGAACATCAGGTAAAACTCAATGAATATTTAACATTGGAGGCACGTACGAGACGCAATTAAAACATAAAGAACATGGCATATTGTAATTCAAAGTCATGCACTCTTTCACTATTGAAAGCATGTATGGGCATAATTAATTTGTATATCGGCAGAACTCGGAGGTCATAGTTTGGCCCTATGACAGTCAGGAGAAGCAGTCTTAGAGTTACCTCCCCTGCCACATTGAGTGAGTGAGTGAGTGGGTATGGTTTTAAGCCGGTTTTAGCAATATTCCAGCAATATCATGGTGGGGACGACCAAAATGGGCTTCCAACATTAAACCCAAGTGGGAAATCAGGGCTTGATATAAAAGATGTTAACCTACTTGCACCAGGTGCAACCTAAGATAAAAACCTAGTTGCACCAGCCAAATTCCAGTTGCAACGTAGAGTGTTAAAACATCAGAGGTTTCGGTGCACATAAACATATTTCTGTCATGTAGTACCATTGAAACCATAGCAACACAGAGACACAGCTGATCCCTGTTTACAATCTTGAGCTATCATAGCCGCGACGTGTCTATGAATAGCAATGTTTCGTTGCCATAGCTATTCAAAGTTTAGAACAAAATGGAGCTGACATATTTATGCTTATATTGTTAGATTTATTGTTGATTTATTTCTCAAAAAATGACTTGCACCTGGTGCAAGTTAGACTAATAACTAGGTTGCACCTTGCAAAATTGGGTTGCACCAGTGCAAGTAACAAAGCACTGAATCGAGCCCTGGAAATGGAACCCGGGTCTTGGGCCTGACGAACGAACACTTTAATCACTAGACTATCCTACTCAGTCTACACACGCACGCACACACACGCACGCACGCACGCACGCACGCACGCACACACTGAGACCATGCTGCAGTGTTTACACATAAAAGCTGCCAAACTAATTCAGGCACCTTAACCATAAATGACATATCTATTTTTGATTTATTGTTTGTTTGCATCTTCAACATACAATCATTTGTCATTGTCTTCATGCTAATCGTAAATAAATAATAATTTAACATAAAAGAGAAGAGAGCAAACTGAAAGTGCCTTTCACACGTGCAGAAATTACATCATGCTCACTTGGTATGCATACTATTGTTAGACATTTTCTTTTCACATAACATTTTTACATTGATAACATTTTGAAGACCATGAGCCACACCACAATGAAAGTTGTGGAGATAATTTAAAGGACTGGTTTTGAAAAACAGTCATGTAACAGCGCACAAGTAACAGGGCTGGGGGTCTATGCACAAGGTATAACAATTCACCCAACCATTGGACACAGCAGGAAGGTGTGATCATGGGTTCGAATACCGGTCCATGTTTCAAAGTTCGCTATCACCAAACATAGGCTCATGGGTTTCACATATGACCTGCTGTATAGGGTCTGCTGTATAGGGTCTGCTGTATAGGGTCTGCTGTATAGGGTCTGCTGTATTGGGTCTGCTGTATAGGGTCTGCTGTATAGGGTCTGCTGTATAGGGTCTGCTGTATAGGGTCTGCTGTATTGGGTCTGCTGTATAGGGTCTGCCTCTAACATGAAGCCCACAACATGTGATATCCACTGGAATACTGGAATATTTATAGCATGTTAAACCAAACACATTTACTGCAGATGTGACAGTACTGTAATTACAACATACACATACAAAAATTGTGATGAGTCGGAGATGTGGAATTTACCAGATCATATGTACCATAAAATGCATGAATTGGTAAACAAATGTACACAAATGGATAGAGATCTATTAACTCGTACTATACATATATGTGGTCAAGAAATGTCGCCATGGGTCACCAATATGCTGTTTTTCAGTCTCGTTCAGTTACTAATTCCTGTAGTCAAACTGAAAAGGGAAAGCTGCACTGACGTCGACTGCTGTCATCTTGACTGAGAGACAATAACTAACTGTACGTCTCCACAGGACACATCAACAGAGCAATACAAGTACAAGACTTTATACGGGGGTGTGGCGAGCTGCCGACGTCTACACACTTTCTCCAAGGTGTCAACTACTTACTTGCTTGTATTTGATTTCGGGATTACGGTTAGGCGTCGGATCAGACATTGTCACCGGTTATTTCTTGTAAGCACACGTAGGATCACACCTGAGAGATCCGTGAGCGACCCAAGTAATCCACTTACTTCAGGTTTCCTATTCAGCCTTGACCTTTACATACAAACTCCACAACATCACGTGCTGCATATGTCGCATCCTCCAGTGAGTTATTTTCGGACTACGTTATCGCTGTGAAGAGCTTTGTAGGATGACATTCCGATTCGTGGAGCCAAACTAACAATGATTTTACAGGGCGCTTTTATTGTTGTAGGCAATATTGCACAACGCCGTATCAGTGCTATTTTTGGAGTCGATTTATGGGTGATGAGTGAGTCAGTTTAATGTAAGCCACGTCGGCAGTATTTCATCCTTATTGTGACTCGGTCAAATTATATTATTCTACGACAATAATAAACAATACAATTATACATTTCAAACTATAATGTTAAGTGTGTTGAACATGTGCTCTCCCAGGGCTGTTTTTCATCACCTGACTCAAACTACATGGCGTAAGGTAGACTAATGCTTAGTCTCTGAATATATATAATTTTGATAGTAACAAACAAGCCCATTTAAATTGAAAAGAGCCCCAGGGAGACCAGCTACAGATTCAGAACCTGGGGAAATCTAGACTTGCTTTATTTAGGGCTTTAGCACTGTAGAGAGCCTGGCAGTCGGAAAAATAATGTGGTCAAGGGACTGTGAGACAGACCAGGAACATGGACTGGTTCAGGCTTACAAAAAGATGCCACTGTTACTCATTTCAGTGGCATCTTGGATGCTTACCCTTCCTCCCATGGAAGATATCAGCTCTAGTATGAGCTACCTGAATACACCAGGTGGCCTTGAAGATCTCGTCAGTTACTTTGATGCAACCAATGTAAGCGGAACGTTCAAGATAATCCAGCCCCCATCATGCAGTCCTGATCGATGCACCCCGACCACCCACGAGAATGAGAAGAGTGCCTCCTGTGTACCCACCACTTAGAACTATGGAACGTCCATAATGACACACTGAGGGAGACAGCAAAACCAACAACATCTGCGAATCTTGGAATTCCGGTTTGAAGAAACTAGTTGGTCATGACAATCCTTCAGTGTGGTCTGTTGTCCAGGGTTCCAGAGAGACGGGTGCTTATAGTGTCAACTCTCCTCCACCAGTATGCCCGAGGAGTACGTCCAGCCAAGAGAACCATGAAATCAAGAGACCACAGGGCTTCAAGGTTGTTAAACCTATGTTCAGATCGAAGAAATGCTAAGATCTCCATTGAAGACTGACTCTGATCGGTGTTTTACGCCGCTTTTAACATCACGGGTTGTGTTGACAGGGCTAATTAGTGCTCAAATTGTGACGAGCCAACGCTGGCACCCAGTTTATGCTAGGACATAACATCATTGGTGCTCCTCAAATTGTGATGTGGTGTAACCTGTTTATATGTATGTATGTATGTACACATTGTATTTGATGTCGGCTAAATAAAATATTAGAACAATAAACAATCTTCATTATTCATTTGGAGCTTTTTTTTTTTTGTCCGACATGATGTTTTTTGTTTGTTCTAAGAGGGTTTTGTCTTAGGTTTTTTTTGCGCATTCGGGGCTTTCGTCCACAGGGGATTATGTCCGCACATCGTAGGCCAAACCACTACTCAACCCCATCCACGTACATTCGCAGCCACTACTCTATCCCAGCTATCACTGTAAAACCAGTCTAGGTCTGGGCAAGTAAAAAGCAGCCACACATACACACGCATGCATGGACGTCGCCATATGAGGGAAATATTCTCAAGTATGACGCTAAACCCCATTTCACCTCCCCCCATATGTATCCAACCACAACTCTACCCACACGGGTACTCGCGTAACTACATTCCTCAACACCCGGGTACCAGTGTACCACTACTCCATCCCACCTGCGTACTAGCATCACTTCACCCTACACATTACAGCAGATAGGCCGACTATGCATGTGACCTATACAGTCACCTTATTTCCCCCACAGCAAGGCAGCCTGCTGGACGCGAGTTGTTGATACTTTAATATATGTCAGTAGATTGTAATGAACGATTGTCAGTAGATTGTAATGAACGATTGTCAGTAGATTGTAATGAACGATTGTCAGTAGATTGTAATGAACGATGACGAATGGCCAAACTCGCACCTAAGCGAGGGCAGTGTTATCACATCTGAAAAAAATGACTGACATACGTCATACGTCCATGCCCCAGTCGGTAGCAGTCACAACACCTATCTGCTGTCACCAAGGTGTACAGCGTTCTTTTCTCGGGGCTGCTAGTGTTACACTATGCAACTATTTCTCCGTGTACATAGACAGCTGCAGGTACATGGGGTACACTTGTTTATGCGTTAAGTATATCAGCTACAATTGTGTACAGAAAAGGTACGTTTGGTACAGTTTTTGTATTCGGGAGCTATAGTCATAACAAAGTCTTACGTCTCTAGTAAATGTGCACGCAGTTACACAGTTTGAAGTTACAGTGAACACAATGTGAAACCAGGTCGCATAGCAACAATGTCTATAATGTAGGTGCGGATCTAGGGTTTTAAAGAAGGCTGGGTGCAAATATTATATCGGGAAGTCCACAGTTTGCAGCCCTGGACCCGCCCTTGAGTAACAAAATACCAGTTTTATGCAGCTCTCTGCCAAATATTGCCCTCGTGATAAATAAGCCTTTTGACAAGAAAAGGCAACCTCTTATCGTCGTTTATTCTCATGACGTTTTAGTGAAACAGAAATAAAGGGCTTAATTGTGTACATGTGTCGTTTACATTTAGTAGTTCCATCGAGATATTTAACGCATTAAAACAACAAGACACAGTCCCTACAACATTATAGACATGGAAACAAACGTATACACAGTTCGCCCAAACATCAAGATTTGAGGGCTGTTTGACCAACATTGTGTAGCTGGTTAGGATATGGTGCACTCCCAACCTGTCTTCACAGGTCCTCGTGTCTTTGCGAGGATTAAAGATTAAAAAAAAATATTGTTTTTCGAGATGAACCCCGACTCGAAATGCTTCACAGTATAATATAATACATTATGACATAATGTATTACACAGGGGTTCGAATCACTGATTGGACAATCATTTTTCAAAAATAAAAACCTAGGATTTTGCAACCTTATATTGTTTTTATGTTATGAGTAACTTATATTTCAAATTTGAACGAAATCGGTAAAGAAATGGAATTTTTAGAAACTTACCCCGCTACACTCATTTTATTAAAATACATATTTTATGTGATTAGTGAAGAAATGAGTGAAGAAATGGATTTGATTCGTTCAAATTTGAAATATTTCGGCGTGACGAGCGAACGCTTTTACTAGGCTACCCCTCCGCCCCGGATTTGGCTTGAGAAGCAAACCCTTGAACTAACCACACATATACTAAACAGGTCTTTCAAGATCACGTGCATATCGCATTATGAATCCGAAAACACTATCAGATATAGGTATTTCTGTTTTTTTTTTAAAAATAATCTGTCCATGAAACGAAAGAAACCGTCATCTCATTTTTACCGTTACCGTTAATTTTAAGTCAGTTATGAAAATGCCTAAAATACATATTTATCTGTCGATACCGTCTTGTCAAGGTTACATCTGAAAATTGCATCATGCTCTTCTAAGTATATAACCTTCACTCCGACCTACTGCAAATAAATATGTATGGCGTCTATATGCAATCTGTAACATGGTATGTAACAGTTAAATAAACAGTCAGAGAAATGAGATGACAAATTTTTTTATACACATTTTCATTTTCTTGCATATTTCATCCCTGTAAAGTAATTCCTTTATATTTAAAGATATAAAATATGACATTGCAAAATAAATAAACTCGTAGCTGACAAATCCTACAACATTATTACGAGTATACCCTTTCGACAACACGTCAGATTCTATATTTAGGCTGAGGGTAAACCAGGGTAAAGTACTTCCAAGAACCGAACATACATCCGCATTCTGTCTGTACATATAACACGGGGTGGTATACTGAGATACAACACATGATATGAGTGAAATAACGGTGTTCCTCACACTACTATGGTGGGTCAGTCGGGCCATCGCTTTACCGCCCTGAAAAATCTAGGCGCAATATCGCTATATCGTGTCGCCATACGTATCGCAATATCGTGTCTTATAGCTAAAATACATGGAATTATCATGAAACGGCCCGCCCATTATCAGAAATTTGCGGGCCGCTGCAAATGATATTGGACCGCTCAACCTTAACGACGGGCCACTATCAGTTCTGTTGTCAAGTGACGTCATAGTGGGTGCGTGGGCTTACGGTTCATTCGACATTAATTGGCTTTCGACTGGCACATATTCTGGGTCAAACAAGTCAAAGCAACCCGAACTCCCGCATTAAATAGCGATAATATTGGTTTTCTTGTTGGTGCTAACCTTAACAATTGCACTATTAAGACTGTTGATGGACCAAAAAAAAACGAACACTGACATAGTTTGACATGTTGCAGGTTATGGTCTTGTCAAGGCCAAGGTCAAATATCGTCACTTTCTGTTGTGACGTCACTTGAATTGTTCGATGACGTAATTGCATTCGGGCAGTCAACCCCGTCAGAAGCTGGATTTGAGCAAACTTGCAGTCAAATTCTTTCATTGTTTCCTTTTTCTTTTCAACACAAATTCCATGTATTTTAGCAATAATAACGGTAATGCTATTTTTGAGGGCATTATCATTTGCAGAAGCCCTCGGTCTTTTTCAACTGCCCTCCTTCGTCGGGCGGAAGACCTCGGGCTTCTGCAAATGATAATGCCCTCAAAAATAGCATTACCCTTATATTATAGCTAAAATACCTGGAATTATCATGAAACGGACCGGCCATTATCAGAAATTTGCGGTCCGCTGCAAAATGATATTGGACCGCTCAACCTTAACGACGGGCCACTATCAGTTCTGTTGTCAAGTGACGTCATAGTTCGACATTAATTGGCTTTCGACTGGCAGTTATTCTGGGTCAAACAAGTCAAAGCAACCCAAATTCCCGCTTTAAATAGCGGTAATATTGGCTTTCTTGTTGGTGCTAACCTTAACAATTGCACTATTAAGACTGTTGAAGGACCAAAACCGAACACCGTCATAGTTTGACAGGTTGCAGGCTATGGTCTTGTCAAAGGCCAAGGTCGAAAATCGTCACTTTCTGTTGTGACGTCACTTGAATTGTTCGAAAACGTAATTGCATTCGGGCAGTCAAGCCCGTCAGAAGTTGATTTCGGTAAACTTACAGTCCGATTCCTTCATTGTTTCCTTTTTCTT